CCCCCCCCATATAAAACAGACTCCTGGTTTTGTGCATACAGATCCCAGGGTTAAACAGATTTGGTACTAGGCAATAGTTACTTACTGTCGTCTTTCTTGGCCACTTAGTAAAGCATAAATTCCCATTGTGTTTACTATAAAGTTCTTGGTGAAGTCAGCATTCAAACCTTTGTCTACTGGCATAGCTAGCTTGAAAAGACCGCACTTACAGTTGACATGGCTCCTGGTTTTGTGCATACAGATCCCAGGGTTAAACAGATTTGGTACTAGGCAATAGTTACTTACTGTCGTCTTTCTTGGCCACTTAGTAAAGCATAAATTCCCATTGTGTTTACTATAAAGTTCTTGGTGAAGTCAGCATTCAAACCTTTGTCTACTGGCATAGCTAGCTTGAAAAGACCGCACTTACAGTTGACATGGCCTTGCCAGCAAAACGCATGATGTGGACCCATCTCTGTTAGCTGACAGCAGTTTTTCCCATTAGAGTTTCTGTCATCTTGGGGAGCTGGTACAATGCTGATAGCAGAAATCTCCTCCTCCGAACAGAACTGTCCTCACCAGGGAGCCTGACTACTGTAGCACTGTCACTCTGGTTAAATGAGCAGAAGCCCCTTGTAGGGCACAAGAAAATGATACATCTGTGGGCCAGTAGCAGCTTCTCTTCATTTTAATTAGGGGCCTGATCCACAGCTCACTGAAGTCTTCCCATTGGCTCAATGTATTTTGAATCAGGTCTTAGGTGAAAGCTGTGCATTTGGCAAGTGGCTGGTTCATGTTTTCTTCTAGAAGAGGCCTGCCCGGAGTCTTTGTTTCAGAGGTGAAGGAAAACCATATTGTCAATATATTAAAACATCAAGTGTAATGAATCAAATTATTCAATTCATTATTGAAACCAAATTTGGAATCAGGTGAGATTTTGCTAGACTATTATGCGTGCAGTTATAGGAAAGAATGACTCAGCTTTCACTTGTGCATCTAATACCAGAGGTTTGAGCAGCAGCATAGTGTTGAGGCCATTCTAATGATGGGGATTAAACACCAGGACTGGTTGCTTGCTTCCGTCAGGGACATTATGCGGTGACCTGAGACAGAGGCCATTCCATTGCTCAGCTTGCTGTCTAGGTAGGCTGCAGCTGGAAATCTTCTATTGTAAATCCTTCCCCTATTGTAAATCCTCTTTC